AAATGTTCGTAGAAAAGATTGTATTTGAAAACTTAGTGATTTTGGCCTGGGGGCATAGCACACTGGTCCAGTAATTGCCTAACAGACACAAGCCATGGATTTGAATCCCAGCACTGGGGGAAAGAAAAAGTTTAAAGATTCGATTTCAGACACACCAGCTTCAGTGGAATGGTGAAAACTAGTCAAGATCAAGGGGATGTCCTATGAAAAGGTGGTGAGGGAGTAGAACAATCAGGGTGGACTCTTATTTCAGACATCTGGCAAACGGAGGCGGAATACAAATGAGCAGAGAGAGAATTTTAAGTTGAACGGAATACTTCTGTAGGGAAGGAGAGAGGTGCAATGAAGAAAGATCAAACACTCAAGTGGGAAAGAAGATGAGAGCTAGGGAAAGATCTCCTAGGACAAAGGAGAGCACAAGATCAAAATCAAAGGGATAAGAGGCCCTGGACTGAACAGGCTGCATATTAACTTTGCTATTAAATATTTAATTTGGGGCAAGTCACTTAATTTTCTGAGTTCTCTCATCTGTAAAGTGCATATAAAACTTATAAGATTACGGATGTGTAAATAACATAACTTTGCTAAATACCTGTTAGACAGTATACCACTGTAAAATAAGTATGTTTTATTAAATTTCGTGTGTGTGTGTGTGTGTGTGTGTGTGTAGCAGCTGTATAAGAGTGGAGCACCCTTAGCCTTGAGTGGTGGAGGTGTGGAGACTGGTTTCCCCTGAGCAGAAACAGGTGGATCCGCCCTCCCTCCGCAGGGAGTGGGCGTTACCCAATGGGAGTGGGCTGCCTTCTTGTTCCTTTGTAATACTACCCTATACTTTTTTCGGATGGAATGTTCTATCGAATGGCTCTCTTCAATAAAAACCAGGGTTCAGGGTGTGCTCACTCTCTCTTGCCAGCCTTTCTGTGTTTTTCTATTGTCACCCCTTGTGGGAGCTTACAGTTGGAGGTGGAGAAGCCATCCTGAAATGCCCCAAGTAAAAGGTATTTTCTGTGTCTGTGTGATTGTGCCAGCCCACTTCACCCAAGTGACCCTCGGTCCAAAGCCCCCACAGGACATGGGCTACAGGGCTACATATATATACACACATTTACAGAATGTATGTATTATAGAATTGTATAGGTTTCCTAGGGCTGCTATAACAAAATGTCACAAACTGGGTGGCTTCACAGTAATTATTCTTTCATAGTTCAAGAGGCCAGAGGTCTAAAATCAAGGTGTCAGTAGGACTGATACCTTCCATTGACTCAGAAGGTGAATGAATCTGTTCTGTGCCTCTGGTAGATGTTGGCAATCATTGGCTTTTGTTCCTTTGTTTGTAGCAGCATAACTCTAATTTCTACCTGTATCACCTGGCAATCGTGCTGTGTAGCCCTGCATGTCTCATCTTTTTTCTAAGGACACCTGTCATACTGGATTTAGAATCCAACCTACTCCAGCTCAATTTTGACTAATTACACCTGCAAAGACTCTATTTCCAAATGGGGTCACATTTTTAAGGTTTTTGTTTGTTTATTTGTTTGGTACCAGGGATTGAACTCAGGGGCATTCGACCACTGAGTCACATCCCCAGACCTATTTTGTATTTTATTTAGAGACAGGGTCCCACTGAGTTGCTTAGCACCTCACCATTGCTGAGTCTGGCTTTGAATTCATGATCCTCCTGCCTCAACCTCTCAAGCCGCTAGGATTACAGGCTTGCGTCACTGTACCCAGCACATTTTTAAGTTTTTAAGTTCTACATTGAAATAAATTTTTAAGGTTTGAAGGGACACTATTCAACCTAACATAAGAAATATATTGTTAATATCTGTATTTTGCCTTTTCTTTTCTTTTTTTTTTTTTTGGTACTAGGAATTGAACCCAGGGTACTTTACTATAGAGCTATATGTTCAGTCCTTTTTACTTTTAATTTTGAGATAGGGTCTCACTAAATTGCTGAGGCTGGCTTTGAACTTGTGATCCTCCTGCCTTGGCCTCCTGAGTTACCGAGGAGATTACAGACATGTACCACATGCTTAGCTTTTATCTCTATTTTTATAATACCTTCAATAGACTACTTTTAGAATAGGAACTAAAGCTTAGACCTTATAACAAAATAGTTGAGAGCTCAGGTCATGGAATTTGAATCCCATCTATTACTCTTTCCTGTCAGTTTTCTCATCTGATGAATAGGTGAATATTGCTTCCAAGTGTTTTGGGGTCAATTATATGATATATGAAACACACTTAGCATGATACCTGGCCCAGAGGGTAATATTGGGCTCATTCAGTGCAGGTTGACACATGGTAAAAAGGTGGAAGTTGAGGTTACTGTTCCAAAAAGAGTCATCGTTTTCATATATTTACAGGCTACATGTACCATTTGCAGAGCCAGCTGCATTGCTCTGACTTAACACTTTCCTGCCAAGATTTCTCCACACCTGGTTATTCAATGCTAAGATGAATGATTTACCACTATTGTTGACTCACATTCCACAGAAACACTGGATCACTTACCATTGTCCCTCAATGTTTGTCATTTCAGTTTGTCCATCAACTCTATAATCATTTTACTACTACACTTAAACGTCATCATCTTCCTGTTTTGTTTTTTGTGGTGTTGGGGATCGAACCCAGGGCCTTGTACATTCGAGGCAAGCACTCTACCAACTGAGCTATATCCCTAGCCCCCATCATCTTCTTTTTTGAACAAATAATTTAAAATATATAAGATAATATTTAAAATTTCATAAGTTTAATATATTAGCTCACTAAACCTTTATAAGTCTTTTTTTGTTTTGTTTTTCATGCACCATCTTTTATTCAATAACATGTCTTGAAGAGAATTTTAAGCTATTAATAAGCCAGCCTTTAAAAAGATAGCTTTTGGTAATGGGGATTGAATCCAGGGTATAACTCTTTCAGTAGAAAACTGAGTGTTTTGCCTGGTGCATGGCACACACCTGTAATCCCAGCAACTCAGGAGGCTGAGGCAAAAGGATCCCAAGTTTGAGGTCAGCCTGGGCAAGTAAGGAACACCATCAGCAACTCAGCAAGACACTCGCAAAATAAAAAGTCTGGTGATGTGGCTCAATGGTAAAGCACCTCTGGGTTCAATCCAAAGGAAGGAAGGAAAGAAAGAAGGAAGAGAAAAGATCAGAAAACCAAGTATTTTACCAGTTTTTAAAAATGAAGAAATTAATGTTCTGCATGGTTACATAACTAAAACACTGTTCTTGTTTTGTTTTGTTTGGTACAAGGATAGAACACAGGGGTGCTTAACCATTGAGCCACATCCCCAGCTCTTTTTTATTCTTTATTTTCTGGCAAGGTCTTGGTAAGTTGTTGAGGCTGGCTTTGAACCTTCAATCCTCCTGCCTCAGGCATGCACCACTACGCCTGGTGCAAGTTCTTTTAGTTCTTTTATCTCGAGTGGTAGAGATGTGATATAATTATAACTTCTATAGCACCTATATATATTAGCCATATTCTAGGAATTCATTGCAGATAACCTGGTAACAAAATTTTTAAAAAATTAATCAATAGTCGCTGTTGGTGGTAAGTTATTGTCTTATTTATAAAAAAGACTAGCTACTATACCTTTGAATAAAGTTAAACTTGACCTGACATATAGATTGCTAAAATCTATGTCTTCTATTGGTTTGCTTGAATTAACACTCAATTCTTTGCCATTCATAAAGCCCTTCTGAATCATGAGTTCTAATTCTTGTATTCAATTGATTTTATGGAGTGTACAAATATAGCAAAGTAGTATTCTTTAACACTGTTCCTAGTCCTCAAACAAGCAAAAATTCTCAAGACTTTAAGACAGTGATTTTTAAGAATGTTTTTATGCTCTTGCTTGTTATTAACTGCATGGATAACTAGGCAGATAGGAAATTTTTTTATAAGTCAATTTGTAAAATCAAGACAGATTGCATTAATTTAAAAATTTAGGAAGCCCAAGCTTGTGTACCAACTACCTGAATCTAAAGAAAACAAACACAACAAAATTCTTGGCAGTTAATTACAAGTTACATATGCTTTAGATTTAGTGTTTTGGATCTATTTGTATTTCAGAGTGTAACAACACCATCCTTTTGGTTTAATTTACAATAAGTGCAGTAATTTCCATCTATAACAGCTATATATTACATATAAGGAAATACTTAAAAAGAGGTCTTGGTGCATGTACACAAAAGACAAGTCTAAACTGCTTTTCTTTCTTCTGAATTCACTGGGAAATGAACTAGAAAGTTCTACATCTCTAATTTCTGTGATGTGATATGTTAGCCTGGTCTTCCACCACATATAAATTTATAACAGAACACAGATTTTATGAGTTTGTGGCTTGACCAAATTTCCTTTTTTAAAATCGTGGACACTTGCAGATGAAAATAATTCCCATTACTTTTTAAATTGCACTGTAGAAAAATAAAAATATAAACACTTTGCAGATTTCAGAACATTCTAAACCCCAGAACTCTTTAATGATACAAACCCACATGAATTCAGCAATTTGGAGATTTAGTATAAATAGTCACCCCTTTGTAGTAGGTTTGTTAAAGATAAAGCAGTTCAGCACATGTTCCCACAAAGCATTTGGGAGTCTTAAGTTCGAGCTTCAGAATTCCTTCTGAAAAGGACAAAAGAGAGACTTCCTGTCATTTCCATTGGTTTCTGCATGTGGGACCAATATGGGCAATGCAAAGTTTAAACAGATGCAAATGGTGAGGGGAGGAGGCAGTGTCATGCCTTGTTTTACATATTTCTCCACATCCAGGCTGAATTTAAGTCACTCTCCGCAGAGCTTCCAGAGTAGACTTCCCACTGAAGTTACTGCATGCTTGAATGGTCTATTTCACCAATATTTGCTTATGGAAATAAAGGGGAGTGACTGGGGAGGGGGCAGGGAGGAGGAGATGAGTGGAGGAGGGGTTTGAGGCTGAGGGAGCCTCTGACCACAGCACAGCGCACCAGTAACCTTGTCTGATGTGATCATTAACCTTTCTGGAAAATGCAGCTGGCAGTCCTCTGAGGTTTGTCATTAGAATGTGAGGAGAGCCACACAGATATTGCACAGACTATTTACAGATTGTTTGGTTTACTTTAAGAGCTATTACTCCACTTGCCTGTGGCAGGAAAATGAGATTTCAACAATTTTTGTGTGTGTTTTTGATTTTTGTGATGAGTCTTCTCCTAATCAACGGACAGAGACCAGGTAGGACTTTCATACATTTGTATGGAGTAACTTGTTTTTATGCCTGTTTATGTCTGTGGTTCTGAGTACAACTGTATTTATGTTGAGAGAGTTGCTTAGGCGTGTTTGCAATAATATTGGGGGTAAATGTGTAGGATTTCTGAAGTAATGCGATCCTGCTGGTGACAGGATAGATCAGAATATATGAAAAAGCAATTGTATGTTGAAGTATTGCTAAATATTTTACCACTATTTTTCTAAATGCAAAGAAAATCTAAATCTAAGCTATTGTGGATGGGCTGTTCTTACAAATAGAAAGAAATGCAAATCTTAGTTTATTAATTAAAGAGTTTAATAAATCAACAACTTTTAATTAGAATGCAAAATTCAGAGCAGTTTCATCCAAAGAGCATGTAGCTGGCAGAGGAGAGCAATGTTAACTGAGTGTACAACATGTAAAAATCATAGCATGGCAAATGTAGATGAAATCGTAAAATGAGTCAATAGTTGCAATTTCTAGTTATGTAATAGGTAGATCACCTAAAACAAAGAAAGCACAGTTTGTAGTATTGTGTTTATAGAGCCAAAAATGTGCATGATCAAGACATATAATATTAAATTTACCTGACATCTTTTTCAAGAATGTGTTATATTTAACCAACAGGAATTTAGTAGACAAAATTATTTGAATGCATTTTTACTTCAAAGCCAAATGACTTAGATTTTAAAGTACCAGTAGGTAAAAAATTTAGAAAGTTAAAGTTTTCTGACACACAAAAACTGCAAACCCAAGCTTTAATAGAAAGGTGATAATCCAAAGGTTATATTTACTTGATAATGTACTTCTTCAGTAGAACAGAAATGGTACATAACTTGTTAAAAACTCAGACTTTTAGTTAATTAGAAGTTTGATTGGCATGAGGTTATTTCAAATGATGTCCCAGGCTGTCCTTTTACATAAGTAAGAAAAACAGTCCAAGTCAGCAACTCAGAAAGCAGCAACTGCTATTCAAACCACTTCTTCTTTTCCAAAATACCAAACACTGGGCAATGTTCTGTGATTAAGTTCCTATATAAAAGAATATTTAGGAAGAAATTACATGAAAGGAGGAGGATATTACTATTAAGATCTTGCTATTAACACTGTTAAGAATCTACTTTGTGTATATGCATCAGATTATTTATGCTACAATCATCTATGAACAAATGGCAAATAACCACAGAACAGTTTGACTGCAAATACAATTTTATATTCTCCAGATTATACAAATTGATTTTTTTAAAAAGGCTCCTAATCCTTCTTTTTCCTTCCTTTAGCTAATTTGGCCCTAAGAAGAAAACTGCACAGACATAACTGTCTTCAGAGGAGATGTATGCCTCTCCATTCCCGAGTCCCGTTCCCCTAAGGTATTTATGATAGAATATTGTTTTACTGCATTTAGTTACCTATTCCAAAAAAATGCATTTTTGTATTTTGTAATATGTAATTATAATTTATGATGACATAAAAGTTTCAGGAATGTGTACTAATGAATGAAAGAGGGAATTGATATGATGTTTGGGAATTACTTGTATAGTTAAAGAAGAAGATAGACTAGAGTAAAAAAATCCTGATATTGTTGAACCTAAGTGATAGTCAATACTCTTGTATGTGGTTGAAAATTTTCATAATTAAAAAATCAGACATCAGGAGAATTTAATTATAAACAGTATGTTTCAGGGTTTTAAAAAACATTGAAAAACACATTTTCCATTTAGACCTCTATGTACTTGAGAGCATTTGGACATATTTACTGAACACCACTATAACAATACCAACACTTCCAAATTTCCAGCCTCAACACTTCCAAATTTCACATATAAATCAACTTAATATTAATGGCATGGCAGCTTTCCAGCCTCACTAACAGTACTGGTCTTGATGACTGCATCTTTAAGAATAAATTCAGAATAGAACTTTGCTCCTCCTTTTTTGTTTTATACTCACTAAGAAGCCAATGATTTTACCACCTCACTTCAGTAATACTACTGGCATCAGTCTTCAAACAGTGCCCAGGTTTAAGTCATTTCACTCTAAAAACTAACTTGACATCCTATTGTAATTATTTTAAGCTCTTTGGTTCATTTAAAATATGTCTTCCTAAAGAAAATACATAGAAATATCCCACAGCTGGTTAACTTACACAGGCATTTGCTAAATTAGCTTTTTCAACTGGTCTGTAAACTCTAGCTTTTATGGCTTTGCTCATTCAGTGCAAAGAATATGTGCTTTTCATACCCAGTGGAAGCCTTGTAGTAGGAAATTAAATGAAGTGATAAGCATTTATCAGAGGACTGAGACAAAAAGCCAAGATATCTATGCCTTATCTGCAACAAATTACTCTTTGCTATCGAAAAATGTAAAGTAGGTTGGGTGGAAGAATCCAGAAAGATACAGTGGGGGTTGCTGAGAAGAAGCCAATTCACAGTGACAGAAATATGCTTTAAAAGGATTACTATGTTAAAATATCCTTTGGTGTGCGTCAGCGTTTCCAGCAGTGTTTCCACCTATGTAGGTGAGACTGAAAAGCTGGGCTTATAAGGAGTGAAGAACTTCCAGATTTTCCCAGCACTCCTCTGTAAATAACAAAGAGGAGAGGAGGCATTTCACAATTGCAAGAGAATTCCTGTATATACAAAGATGCCTTTCAAAATACAAACACAAGTCCTTAGTTAGCCATAGATTATATTGGCTTTCACCTCACACAACCTACCATAAAAACTGAGCTACAAGTAAACAAGATAAGAGTAGTGAAATTTGAAAACGTAAGGGAAATTTTGACTTGCAAACCAAAGGGGAATTTAAATACAAGCTATATAAACCTTTTAATAATAACAATCCTTCACAAAAGCTAGCTGATAGTTTTGTAGAACTGCTCAGGTTACACATCCATTTTTAGTGTTTAGGCTAGTCCTAGATCCAGCTACAGTTCTGTGAAGACTGTATGAAAGTCACCTGTTGGAATCTAGTGATTATTATAATAGTCAGTGGAAGATAAACATTAAGGTAATTCCTCAATGTCTTAGTCAGAACTAAAAAGTACTGCCTTCAGATTTGACAACACACTTCTCACTGTCCTGAATACTGTCTCACTTTCTATGTCTTAAAAAAAAGCCACTCTGACAAGTAGGTAAAGACCCAAATAGGATCTAAGTAGTGGACTCTAAGGCAAAAACCACCCTTTCATTTCTCCCTTTTTCTACATTTTTTAGATAAAATCACATGTGGTTGATTCAGCTAGGGTTAAGTGAGACTGTAAAAAGATAAACAATTGACTTTGGAAGTTCTCCAGATTAACCCATTAGAGTGATTTTGACCTTTAGCTCATTTGATCAAATGACTTATCTTTACTCTGTATATTGTCTTTTTTTTTTTTTCTTTTGTGGTGCTGGGGATTGAACCCAGGGCCATATGCACACAAGACTGAGCTACATCCCCAGTCCTGCTCTGCATATTATCTTTACTCTGTTCCTTTTGCAGGCTCCTAGAGTCCTTCTCAGTGATCCTCAGCATGATTTCCTACTTTATATAACTGAGTCAATTAAATAGAAGACCTATGCTGCTTACAGGGCATTTCCTGGATATTTGTTTTTCAAAGAAATGTTTTAACATTACCTTCAGCTCTGAGTGAGAAGAGCAATAGGAGAAGGGATGTCAGGAAACGGGAACTCACAGATTAATGAGGGAACTACAGAGTGGGAAATAAAACAGGGGCTTAAAATTCAAATATCTTCCCTCTGCCAACTGTACTATCTCATTACATCAATGCCTTTATTTATAAATATGCACTCTAGATAACTACATACCCTATTAGTAATACTCTATTCAGTTCTTCCTTTTTTTCTTTTTTAGGTACCAGGGATAGAACCCAGGGACATTTTACCATTGAGCTATGTCCTCAGCTCTTTTTATTTTTAATTTTGAGACAGTCTCACTAAGTTACTTAGGGCCTTGCAAAATTGCTGAGGCTGGCCTCAAACTTGTAATCCTCCTCCCTCAGCCTCCAGAGTCTCTGGGATTACAGGCATGCACCACAGTGCACAGCCTCTATTTTTTCTTAATATTTATTTTTTAGCTAGGATTATAGCTCAGTTGGTAGAGTGCTTGCCTTGCAAGCACAGGGCCCTGGGTTCAATACCCAGGACCATCAAAAAAAAAAAAAAAAAAAAAGTTATTTTATCTATTTTTATGTGGTGTTGAGGATTGAACCCAGAGCTTCGCATGTGCTAGGCGAGCGCTCCACTGATAAGCCACAACCTCAGCACCTCTCAATTTGGCTTTTTAATAACAGTTGCAATGCTATGTTCATGTTAGAAAAGTTTATTTCTAACAGTATAAAAGAATATAAAGTCAGAAGTAAAAGTTCCTTGCCCTCGCCTATCGTTTATTTTCATTTCCTAGGCGTAATGGCTTTGAAAATGTACATGGTAATACACCATTTTAAATTACTTTTTTTCAAACTTGCTTTCCATTCAAAATGTCTCTAGTTCTCTATTTTGTATCTTATTCTCACCTCCTTGATCAGACCTCTGCTCTGCCTCCCAGCTCCTTCTCTAGTCATCCTATTGGCCTGCCATTTCTCACCCCATTCTGTCTGTGGGGCTTCCTGAAGCCCAGCTCTGCCTTCAGCACAGATTTCCACTTCAGTGAAACACTTCATCTCCAACATTAGCAGGTCTCTGAGGAAGAACTCTTCTGCTCATTTTTAAAAATCTATGATATTCAACCAGCTATATTTCAAACATTTGGTCACCTCTAGTTCCCTTTTTTGTTTGTGTTTGTTTTGCAGTGCTAGGGCTCAAACAATCCAGGGGCCCACGTGCTAGGTGAGCACTGTTACACACTGAGCTACACCCCCAACTAGCTTCCTTATAGCACTTCTAACTTCCTCTTCCAACTCAAAACAGGAAAAAACTCCTTTTCGTGGAGAAAAGGAAGATTATGAAGCATCTGTGACCCCATAGTGCTCTCTAGTGACCAGCCCATGATCTTCTCACAGGCAAATTTCTTGAAATAGAGGCTGTTTTCTTTTCCTCGCATTTCACTCTGAGAAAATTCCTGTAGACTTCCTTCTGAATACAGTTCAGTTCTGATTTGTTACATCACTATAGATCAAGTGGTGGAACGGATTTTCCTTGGCTTCCATGATACCATGCTTCTTTTTGTTTTTCCCTGGAACAAATGACTATTCTTTTTAGGACCCATATGGGTGGCCAAATGCCTCCTTGGAATCACCTTAGCTGCTCTATAGGCACCTCGGGCCCATGTCCATAGCATACTGGCAAATCTCTACTATGGCTTCTCTCAGACTTTTTCTTGCATCTGTTTCCTGTTCCATTATCATATTCAGGAAGACCTTCCCTGATAACTCTTCTTGTGAAATGACAATACCTTGCCTCACTCAAGATACCCCATCCCCTGGTTTGCTTTCTCCATAACACCCATTGTCATCTGGCACATGTAACATATATTTACTTTGTTATTAGGTTTAGTATTTGCTTCTCTTCATTACAAGATAAGTTCTATGAGAACAGAGATTTCCCTCTGGTCCCAGCTGTGTGCCCACTGACTATAGTAAGCTTTCTAGAAATATCTGATGAATGGGGCTGGGGGTGTGGCTCAGTGGTAGAGCACCCCTAGGCTCAATCCCCAGTACCACAAAATAAATAAATAAAATAAACTGTAAATCCAATCATGTTACATCTTGATGAATATTGTTAACTTCCCCCATGACTTTCAGAACAAAGAGAACTGACATAATTTGGCAAATATCACTGATAAGGTGTACCTCTCCAGTCTCATCTATCACCTCTTTCTTTTCCCCTCCCGTTTACCAAAGGGGACAAAAACTAAGACTGTTTACACCATCTGAATTCAAGCTCTGGCCACATAGCTCATTCTGGTGAACACGGGCAATTCACTGACCTTCTCCAACTCTCCTTCCCCTTCTACATCTGCAGAATGGAACTAGTTATGTACCTGTCTATCATAAGACAATGTGGGCACATAATGAGTGCTAAATAAATAGTACCTAGAGTTCTTATTGTTGTTACTTCAAAAACAATCCACTCTCCACCTCTTGCTGCTCTTCAAGGTACACTTCTGCCTATTCTTTACTTTACTATCATTCATCCTACAGGATAATTCCCTTGATTTTGATACCCCACCAATTTTATTAAATGCTCATTTTTTGCTTTCAGAGCATTATTTGCATACTTTCTGTCACAGTGCTTGATCCGCTATATAGTAATGTGTTAACTGACTGTACTCTACTCCCACTCCTCTACCCTGCCCTCTGTATACTGTGAATTCCTGGAAGGGTGGGTTTTATTTATTTTCATATCTGCAATCCAATAAAGTGCCTGGAACTCAGTAGACATTCCACAAATGTCCCCAAAAGGAATAAAATAAGGCCAGGCACAATGGAGCCTACCTGTAGTGCCAGCTACTAGAGAGTCAGAAGTGGGAGGTCAGTTTGGGCAACATAGTGACCATGTCTTTAAAAAAGAAAGAAAATGAAACTTTTTCTTATTATGTTAGCATTTAAGACTCACTGTTATCATACCTGAACACAATTTTCAGTTTTACTTTCTAATATTACCTGCCAAGCCACACTGATTTCCTATCTCTATGCTGGAGACCTCTTGTTTTCGTTTTGTTTTGTTTTTCCAACATTTCACCACATATATTTAGAGACCTTTTGACTTCTATGAATTCCTTCCCTTACTTTATCAAGTCCAGACTCTTCCCCTCCCCCATGTTCTCTTCAAATCCCATTTTCTTCATGGGGACTACCTGGCATTAATTAAAATACTCTTCAGTGCCAGCAGGGTGGAACAGGCCTGTAATCTCAACTGTCAGGAGGCTGAGACAGGAGGATCATGAGTTCAAAGCCAGCCTCAGCAAAAGCAAGGTGCTAAGCAACTCAGTGAGATCCTGTCTCTAAATACAAAATAGGGCTGGCGATGTGGCTCAGGGGTTGAGTGCTCCTGAGTTAGGGTCGAGTGCTCCTGAGTTCAATCCCCGGTACCCCCTCCCCCACACAAAAAAACTTCATTCTCTCATTGATAAGTTTATGAGATTTGTTGTTGCGCTGAGCTACATCCCTAGCCCTGTATTATTTTCATTTTTGAGACTGGGTCTCTCTAAGTTGCCCAGGCTTGCCTCAAATTTGCCATCCTCCTGCCTCAGTCTTTTGAGTACTTGGAATTGCAGGCATGTGTCATCAACACCCAGCTCATTCCAAGCCTTGTTGTTGTTGTTTTTTTCCTTTTTATTGGCACATTATAATTATACATAACGGTGGGGAGATTTGTTATAATATATCCATACGTGTACACAATAAAACAGTATAATTTGATCAGTTTCAAACCCCAGTACCTCCCCTTTCCTTCCCCTCCCTCCCCCTGGTCCCCTTTTTCTATTCTACTGGTCTTCCTTCTATTTTTTTTTTATTCTAATTAGTTATACATGACAGTAGGATGCCTTCTGACACACTGTACACAAATGGAGCACAACTTCTCCTTCCTCAGGCTGTATATGGTGCAGGACACACCAGTAGTGTAATCATACATGTATATAGGATCATGACTGTCTCATTCTACTGTCCTTCCCATCCCCACAGCCACACCCCTCCCCTCACTCCCCTCTGCACAATCTAAACTTCCTTCATTCTTCCCTACCTTTCCCAACTATGGATCAGCATCCGCTTATGAGAGAAAACATTTGCCAAGTCTTGTTTTTGTTTTTTTGAGACTGGCAGCTTCCAGTTAAGTTGCTCAAACTGGCCTCAAACTTGCAATCCTCTTGACTCCGCCTCCCAAGTCACTGGTATTATAGAGTATATCATCACACCTGGCAAAACGCAGAATATTAACAGAAATTGTTCAGATTGCTAATGGAGACAACTGAGCAAATAAAGATTACTAGGTGAAAAATAATGTACTGTACTAATTTCTTTAATATCTTAAATTCAGGCTTCTAAAGAAACAGGAGCTATATTTATACCAAAAGGTAAGGATATATAAAGGTGCTTCAAGCACTGAAAAACAGGTAGTTTTAGAACTCTTTTGTCTATTAAAAAAAAAATTAGCATGGGTAAGTTGGTTTACTGGATAATACATCTTATTATGATGTGTTCTCTCGTGTCTTTCAGATATAGAACTCTGCAGCTGATTTCATTAGCTATACCAGAAGAAGAGTGAAGGAGTGAAGGAGAGATCTCAACCACCCAAAAGAACTTCACTGTGGCAATCGGGGGATTGGTTACACTTCATCAGACAAAAAGGAATTGTTTGAAAGTACTGGAATGGTATTTTAGTTCATAGGACTGCCTTCTTCCTGGTTATTCATTTGCCTGCATAACAAAAATCACTCATCTTTTTTCAAATGTTTATCTCATTTGATTAAAAAGAAAAACATCTTTCAATGTCTTAGAACACTCTATAGGTAAAAAGTGCAAGAATTTAAAATATTTTTTATATTCCTATAATCTCCAAAAGTGTGTTGTATATGTTTAATTCTTAAAATAAATGCTAAATCGGTGAAATGAGTTAGACATTATTACCCTAAGTACATGTATGAAGACACGAATGGTGTGAAAATACTTTGTTTTACAATCAGTGACTTGAAAAATTGTGCTCTATATGTGTAATATGAAATGGACTGCATTCTGCCATCATGTATAACAAATTAGAACAAATAATTTAATAAAAAAAAAAGAAATGCTAAATCTAAAATCAAGTGCATTGACTGGCTTTGAAGAATATGAAGAAAATTCTTGATTAATTATTTATACTGAACGACTAAGAAAAAAATTATTAGTTGCCACTGTATTATATGATAAATTTTAGTGTTAATAAAAGTACGTTTTTTATTTTATGAATAGTATTCACTAGAAGTCCAGAAGAAAGCATAAAATACTAATTGTAGTCCATGTTATTTTAAAAGGGAAATGTTTATTTCTCAAAAATTTTTTCTCATCATGTAATTTTAAGAAGCCACTGTTTATTTTCCTTGAATGTTTTATGGCCTTGATCATTTTGTATAGATAGTTCCTTAAAAAGCCTGGCTTAATTAATATTAAAATAACAGTTATGCAACCAGGCACAGTGGCACATGCCTATAATCCCAGCAGCTCACCAGGCTGAGGCAGGAGAATCATGAGTTCAAAGCCAGCCACAGCAACTTAGCGAGGCCCTGTCTCAAAATAAAAAAGGGCTGGGAATGTGACTCAGTGGTTAAGTGGCCCTGGGTTCAATCCCCCATACAAAAAAAAATTAGTTATGCCAATGATGCCCTAACATGACAAAATCTGTATCTAATAGGTGACTGTTTATCATTCTGATAAGCTTTGTTTTGATGCTGTTCAACCTGTGATAGATATACAAATTAAAAAATCAGAAAAAAAATTAGAAATATGATTACCCAAAAAGGAAACTATTATCTAGATCTGAATTAATAACTAGGTATTCCCAAGTGGTTAAATGTTATTAGTTTGTATTTATTGAAAGACTGTTAGCTTAATGACACAAAGTTTAAGTTAATTCCAGATGATGAGTTTACAAAATCATACCTTGAAACTTGTAAACATTGTAAACATTATAGAGTAAGAAAGGATATTAAATTAGTAACCTTTATTTTGCTAAAAATAGCAGTTTGGCATTAATGTTAAAGAATCTGAAAAAGAAAAATCTCAAAATATCATAGAGTTTGTCTTCCTGTCAAGGTTTATTTAAAAATGTCTTTTGGAATAAAAGATACTTAAGGCACTGAAATTAAAATTATGTATAAAATTGTTTATCTCATTAAGTTAGATGTTATTGGGGAACTCCTAAATAATTTTCTGGATAAATTATAATTCCTTTCCACAAGTGCACCTTGAGTAGAAACATAAGCTATTGTCAATTATATTTATATTTAAAACAAACTCACTTGTATACTATACATATAAAACACTTTATACAATTCAAATACATCTCATTCAATAAAACCTGTATTTTTCAAGTATGAATTCTCATATTCACAGAAGAACAGTTAAAAATCAGCCTTAATAATGTAATTAAGTGGCTACTGATTTCTGCTCCTAATAATTTAATAAAACACTTGGTGACTTGAGTGTCTGCTGTGTGTGTGTGTGTGTGTGTGTGTGTGCAATCATGACGCATGCAGGGTGTGGGTACTGGTGATTAAACCCAGAGGTATTCTACCACTGAGCTATATCCCCAACCACTTTAATTAAATTAATTAATTTACTTAGTTTTGGCTATGGAGATTAATTTAGGGGTGCTACATCCCAGGTCTTTTTTTTATTTTGAGATGGGGTCTGCTAAATTGCTGTGGCTGGTCTCAAACTTAAAATCCTTATGCCTCAGCCTCCCAAGACACTGGAATTGCAGGCATGTATCACCAGGCCCAGTCCTATTTATTTAGTTATGTATTTGGGTACTAGGGATCAAATCCAGAGAGGCTTTACCACTGAACTATTTCCCTAGCCCTTTTTATTTTCTGTTTTGAGATGGGATCTTGCCAAGTTGCTTAGGACCTAAATTGCATCCTCCTGCCTCAGCCTCCCAAGCCTCTTGGATTACAGACATGCACCACTGCATCCAGCTCCTTTTACTTTATTTTTTTGTGAGAAGGAGGAGGTACTGGAGATTTAACCCATTGGATACTTTCCCAACTCTTTTTTTATTTTCTTTTTCCAACTCCTTATTTTGAGATAGGGTCTCAATAAGTTGCTGAGGCTGGCCACTGGTCTTGACTTGTGATCCTCCTGTCTCAGTCTCCCAAGCTGCTGGTATTACAGGCATGTGCCACCATACCAAGCTATTTTGTATTTTCAGACAAATTGCCAAAATTGGCCTTGAATTTTTTATTTCCCTACCTCAGCTTTCACATAGCTAGGATTATAGGTGTGTATCACCACACCCTGCTTTGTTATCTTTTCTCAGTATAAGAACTATTCAGTCTTACAGCTGGGCATGGTGGTATGTGCTTGTAATCTCAGCAGCTTGGGAGGCTGAGGCAGGAGGATCACAAGTCAAAGCCAGACTCAGCAGCTTAGCAAGACCCTGTCTCTAAATAAAATATAAAAAAGAACTGGAGCAATCCCAAAAGACCAAAGGCCAAATGTTCTCACTAATATGCAGATGCTAACACTCAATAAGGAGTGGGGGGCAGAGGAGAACAGAAGTTTACTGGATTAGACAAAGGGGAATGAAGGGAAGAGATGGGGAATGGGAACAGGAAAGATAGTAAAATGAATCAGACACGCCTGTAATCCCAGCAGCTCAGGAGGCTGAGGCTGAGACAGGAGGATAATGGGTTCAAAGCCAGCCTCAGCAACTTAGTGACACCCTGTTTCTAAATAAAATATAAAGCCAGGAGCAGTGGCACACACCTGTAATCCCAGGGACTCAAAGGCTGAGACAGGAGGATTGAAAGTTCAAAGCCAGGATCAGCAAAAGTGAGGCACTAAGCAACTCAATGAGACCCTGTCTCTAAATAAAATACAAAATAGGGCTGGGGATGTGGCTCAGTGGTCGAGTGCCCCTAAATTCAATCCCCAGTACCAAATAAATAAATTTAAAAAATTATAAAAAAGGGCTGAGGACATGGCTCAGTGACTGAGTATCCTTGGGTTCATTCCCTGGTACCAAACAACAACAACAAAAAAAAAAAACAGCCTTTCTCTTTTAAAAATTGCTTTCAAGTGACAAGAAAAACACAAATTTCACCGTTTTCTTTTTAAGTTTTCCAAAGTATACAAAAGCAAAACACTTAGATCTGCTCACTCTAAATTTTAGTTAATTATTTCCTAGTGCTAAAGATCTAACCTGGGACCTCATACATCCTAAGCAAGTGTTCTACCGCCAAGGTATACTCCCAGGCCTTGCTCTAAATTTAATTTCTGCCCACAAACAAACAAAGACATTTTTAGATGAATTTATAGATAATGTGTATAATTACATATGAACAAAACACTTTTTATATGTATAATATATATACATGTGTGTATATTTATATATCATTTATCATATCTGACACTGTTCAAAATGCTTTAACTTATGAAAACTCATTTAATACTCAACAATTTCAAGAGATATGCTGTACTATTATTATTGCTCCACTCTTCATTTTTATTTCTAGATAATAAAACAGGCACAAAAAGATAACCTGCAAAAGGTCAAACAAGGTAAAAGAGCCTAGATTTGAACTCCTGGAAGTCTGGTTCTAGATCCTAGTCTTATCCACCATTCCTTATCTTCACAGAATTACAGACGTTGAGAATGTGGACTCATATATATACAAATACATTTCACAACACAAATAATAAGTCTGTTGTGTGTCCTTGCTAAAAAACATATGGAACAACCAGAGACAAAGATTACAAAGCATCTCAGGAGTAACAGGTATGAAACATATTCCTTGGCTGATAAACTAGTTTACACTCTAATAAACTGAGAACAGTTTCTGTGGAAGAGTAAGGATGAATGCTAGATTGCTTCTGAACTCCTCATGCCAATTCTAAAAACAATTGGTCCAGAAGAAGACTCAAATCAATAATTATCAACTCTTTAGGTTAATTAGCATCTATCAGCTAGTCCGGCCCCTCTCTGCATAATTACCAGGGACCCTACAAAGTATGGTCAGCCTTTCAAGATTCAGGGCCATACTGATGGGGTTCCTATGTTAAGTAATTTTTATGCCATGTAGTGTGACAGGAACTTATTTTCCATATTATGATATTTAAGTTGAAACAATTCTCTCATCCCACAGAGAAAGAACAGAGATGAACTGCTACCACTAGTATTGCAAAAGGTCTAGCAACCAGGACTTTATCAATATCTTGATTTTCTAGTTCACATTTGTAACTGCTCATGCCCTGCAATTCATGGATCTCTTAAAAGTAACAAAAAAATGTTTCCTTTCAATTACAGCTAGTCGTCCTTTCAAAGATGTGTGACACCATGTTTAAAATATTTCCCTAAGCTGGGTGTGATGGCAGATGCTTGCGATTCCAGATACTCCTGAGGCTGAGGCGGGAAGGTCACAAGTTCAAGGCCAGCCTGGGCAACTCAGTCCACAGACCCCATCTCAAAATAAAACATAATATAAGATGCAGCTCAGTGATAAATGGCTCCAGGGTTCAATCTCCAGTACCACCTCCCCCCCACACACAGAAGAGAAATCCAACTTTGTCTCGAAGGCCTTGCACTGACTCTTGCCTATCTCACCCTCCACCCAAAGCCATTTTCTACGCCCTGCCCCTTGGCACTTCTCTTGAAGTTCAACAAGCTCCTCACCTGTTCCTCCTTCAGCCTTGAGGGCTATTACCCTTGAAAGGTCCAAAAATTTACAGTCATTCCTCCAATTCCGCCTAAAAAAACGTGACCTCCTTAGCAGAGACCAGAGCGAACTGGAATTGGTGGGACAGGGCAAATCCCCTAGTCAGGGGACAGACACACCCACCTATTGAGATGCAAACTAATCCAAAAAGGGACTGGTTCCTCCTGGATTTTCTGGGTACGCCCCGCATCCAGGTGACCTTGCTCCAGGCTACTGAAGCAGCTCCTCGGCTCAACTCCACTCCCTTACCCTCTGAGAGAAGTCTGAGAGAAGGCCAGGGGAAGCTTTCAAAACCAGCCTGCAGCCTTCCTTTGGGCCTCAGGTTGCACACAGAGATATCATAGTACGAATCTGAAAAGGGTGTGCCAGGAATGAAACAGTCACTCGAGGGCAACCGGGAGATCCTCACTGAGCCACCCGGCTCTGCCCAGGAGCTCTTCACGCTCTCCCCGCCACAGAGGATCACCGAGCATGCGCAGGCCTATTCCCCGCCCACTTCGTAAGGAACAGCCAATCACCGCGCGGGTTTAACAGTGAGCAGTCTCCTTGCTCTGGGGTCCTCGGGGTTCCCATCACACGCCCCTGCGCGCTCCCGGATTACGGCGGGTCTTTCCAGAGCTGCGGAGCCGCTCGCTCCAGGTAAATCGAGGGGTTGACAGAAGGAAGCCAGGCAGTCCCTGGGGTGAAGCCTGTCTGAGCAGTGGCTTCGTGGGCAGCGACCACGAGCCAGTCCGCAGGGTCGCAGCTTAGGTACGACTGGGTCTCAGTGTCTGGAGAAGGTCTTGTGGAAAATCAGACAGACAGACAGCCGGGTTCCAGATCAGTGGGCTAACAGCGAGGGTAGGGGGCCGTGGTAATTCAACTTTCAAGAAGACTTTTGAACTGAATGAGAATTAGTGAAGTGATCACCTTCAAATGTATGCATTTGGGGTTGGGGTCGTGGAGGTAAGGGAGTGGGGTGGTAGCCGCCGTATGAGAACCCACCACCCTCCATCACCTGCACCTCTCTAGTCATCCTTCAGTCCTCGCAGGGGCCTTATGGGTAGGAATGACCTTTTCAAATTTAAATATGAGCAGGTTATTTATCAAACATTTAAGCCAAAGACATAGACCACCAAGAACTTCATAGTCAAGTGGGGATTTGGACCCGCTAGATAATGAACCGCAAAACTAGCCTGTTCTGGTAGTGCACGCCGGTAATCTCTGCACCTCTGGAGGCTGAGGCAGGAGGATGGCAAATTTGAAGCCAACCTGGGCAATTTGGTGAGATCTGTCTCAAAATAAAAAGAAAAGAAGGATTTTGGACGTAGCAAAGATGAAGCTGTTGTGTGGTGACCAAGGCCTGGAATCGCAGCCACTCGGGGAGGCTGAAGCAGGAGTATGGAAAGTTTGAGGCTACCTGCAATTTAGTGAGACCCTGTCTCAAAATAAAAAGGGTTGGGGATGTGGCACAGTGGTTCAATCCCCAGTAGAGAAAGAAAGAAAAGATTGATTCTGCTACATAGTTAGGAATTGATTGGAGGCACCGTTGTGTATCCAGGAGAGAAATATGGTTAGCTTGAATTAGAATAGTGATAGTGCCTACAGACCTGTTCCGTTTCTGTTCACTTCATGACATTAAAAAGATGGAAAGGCTGATTTGTGTGTGTGTTCTAGGAAAGGGTGACACAATAATACTGGGAGTGAGTGTGTTTTATATCCTTTGCACTATGCCAGAGTTCCTTTTCTGTAAAGTATTGCATTCTGATTTTATGTTTTCCACATGTTCCCT